CTGAAGATCAACCTTAAATGAAACCAAATGTTAAAATATTTGTCACTACAATAGTTGAGACTATAATATATAGTCCAAACTAGTAATTTTTATATTCGTCACAATAAGTGAACGAGAACGTTCAGGTCATTGGTCTTTATCTAGGCATTATAAAGTACTGGATAGTTTTAGGTTCGGCTTACATAGGTATACTCTTAAACATATTTTGTAATGTATATATTGATTATTTAATATGCTGCTTTTTATACGTGGTAGAGCCATGCTGCAGCTATGTTAATAGTGTAGTTGTAGCTCGAATGGGTCGGCTCGACCGGGGAAGAACCACGCTCTCATAGAATACCAGCATAAATTGCAGCTTAAGGGGAAATATAACCTCAAATGGCTTAGCAAGATCCTCCGTTATGCCGAAAATATTGCAGCATTAATTTTGAAATAAATATATGGTAAAGTTGAGGATTAATGTTAAGGATTATGTTAGACGAAAACACGATTCCGTACAATTTTCTCGATAGAAAAAAATCCAAAGTTACCTCCAAAATAAACAATAAACAGCTGTTATTTATAAAATACTTTAAATAAGATCATGAAACTTTGCATACTGACTGAACTAACTAAAGCAGTGCTTATGTTATTTACTTTTTTAAAATACCATTATTTTCACTGTAAAAATAAATTACCGAAACCTCTTGCCTCTTGAAGCGTGATTTCTGCCGCCCGGTCAGTTTCGCTTCGACCTTTGAAGGGGGAGGTTGTGTCGTTTACGATCAGAATACACATTACGCAACAGGACGACGTAAAATTAAAATGGGAAATAACCGTAATAAAAATAAGAAGCGTCTGGCTTGGCGTTAAGAAACAGGCATAAATATGATAAACCTAATTAAATAAGTATCTAACGAGTAACGACCTATCTACTTACAGTATTAGTGATTACAAATATGTCGGTACATAGCATACGACGCGCGGGGAAGTGGGGGCGAAATTAGAATTTGTGGTGAGTGTCTCTACACTACCGGGTCTCTACCCGGAGACCCTTTTTTACTGGAAACAAGGCATTCAATCTTAGCCCTCAGGGGTGACAACGCATCTGCGTTTTGATTCTTAATGGAGGATATATGTGGATGTCTATGGGACACAGCATCCACTTGTCATCAGGTGGTCTGTGTGCTCGTTTGTCACCCATATTCTATTTTAAAAAAAAAACATCATTTATTGCTATCACATGGTACAATTTTTATGTATTTATTTTATGTCTTATATAAATGTCTCTAAAGCTAGCTTTGAATTTGAAATTTTTTTGAATAAATAAATCGAAGAGCATAAGGCGGTTAATAGGTACTTGTACTTAATTAAAACATAAAAATAAAATTGGTAGAACTGTCCATTATTTATATTTTAATTTACTGTCTGCGATTACAAATATGTAATTTTTGGGATATGTTATACATTTCATATCGAGAAATTCGTCCGTCTACTACGGCACCGCACATTCATTGAACATTTATGTCCTATTGAAATTTTGTTAATATGTACGTTTAGTAACTATATTCAAGAATTCAAGAAATCTTTTTGTTTATACAACCTTGACTTGTTAGTTGCGCAGTTGCGTGTCACTACCGCACTGCAGCTCGCAGATTCAATTCCCGCTCGTGACATTTATTTTTATGGCCAACGAACCACTTATATAAAATCAAATTATTTGATGAAATTATTTCACTTTATTTGTTAAGTTTGAGAGTGACCCTCTTCTTGAACTAAAATTGAAAAACAGGTTGGTAGGTATTCGAAGCCAACGGCATGTAAACCCAGCATTCCTTATTCGGCACATATTCGCATCCATCGGTACTGCGCTGATGAGGAAACCTGTTGTGCGCTTTTAATAGAACGGTACGAGCGGCTCTAATTAGTGATGTACCAGTCCAACGCTCTGTACTCGACTAACTCGCTTCTTAGGAATTTAAGATTGCAGATAAACCTGATCATTAATTGAAACTACTCGTGCGTTTAAATAGGAATTTGTTATGTACTATTTATAGTATAAGCGTTGAATCACATCTTTAATTTTCCTAACTTGCCTTTTTATAGTAGAGTAAGTAAAACAAAATTTGTTGTCTGATAATTTGTATGCTACCAAAATAATGTACAGGTTCGAACAAAAGGTTTAGAATTAAGATTAAGACAGAAAAATTATTACTTTATAATATATATTTTTATAGGATAGGTTGACAAACTAACACACAGTCCACCTGATAGTCATAGACATTTTTTTTTATTCACACAACGCCATCTAGTCCCAAGCTAAGCAGAGCTTGTGTTATGGGTACTAGACAACTGATAAACATACTTATATATTTCTAAATACATAAATATTATAGATATATTACACCCAGACACAGAACAAATGATCGTGCTCATCACACAAACATTTGTCCTGGGTGGGAATCGAACCCACGACCTCCGGCACAGCAGTCAGGGTCACTAACCACTAGACCAACAGGCCTGTCAACAAGGCCTGTCAACATTACATCTATCCTTGATTACAAATCAAAACGCAGATGCGTTGTCACCCGTGAGGACTAAGATGAAATGCCTCTTTTCCAGTAAAAAGGGTCTCCGGTTCTATACATTCACCATACGAATCACAGCAGCATTAAGCTGCTATTTGACGCTGGTATTCTGTGAGAGCGTGGTCCTTCCCCGGTCGAGCCGACCCATTCGTGCTACAAATAAACAATTAATATAGCTGCAGCATGGCTCTACCATGTTAACTTTAAACTAAATGTAACAGTTTTTGCGATTGATTTTCTGATATCGACTGAGTCGTTGGGCATCACTATTCGTAAATTCGATGATAGCTCGTGTCCCGCACGCGCCGCCAATTGTCCACTAAACAATGAGGCGTCCCAAATTATTGTTTTATGTGTTTGTAAGCGAACATTGTTTTGTCCGCAATTTTTGTCGAGCGTTCTAGTAGGCTTTTGAACATTTCATATATTATTACTTAGGAATTAATGGAATGCAACTGTTCCAATATACTTGTTACGATTTAATTGCTAGACCACTTTCGACAATTCTCTCTCATTACATACACCTACATTTATTACAATTCTCAATTGATGATATATGTAGGTGTATGTGGGCCATTGTATCTACTTACCATCAGGTAGACTGTTTGATTTTTATCATTCTTATTTTATTACGAAAGGAGGAAAGAAGAAGCTTTGTGTTCCTCATGAAAAGCGACCCCTTAAGGGGAAATATAATGTCGAATGGCTTAGCAAAATCCTTCGTTATGCCGAAAATATTGCAGCATTAATTTTGAAATAAATATATGGTAAAGTTGAGGATTAATGTTAAGGACTATGTTAGACGAAAACACGATTTCGTAAAATTTTCTCCATAGAAAAAAAAATCCAAAGTTACCTCCAAAATAAACAATAAACCGCTGTTATTCATAAAATACTTTAAATAAGATCATGAACTTTAACTTTAACTGAACTTTGCATACTAACTGAACTAACTATAAAGCAGTGCTTATGTTATTTACTTTTTTAAAATACCATTATTTTCACTGTAAAAAAGAAATTACCTAAACTATCGGCCTTTTGAAGCGTGATTCTGCAGCACAGCACGGTCACTTCGTCTCGGCCTTTGAACGGAGAGGTTGTGTCGCTTACGATTAGAATATTCATTACGCAACAGTACAACGTAAAATTAAAATGGGAAATAACCGTGATAAAAATAAGAAGCGGCTGGCTTGGCGTTAAGAAACAGGCATAAATATGATAAACCTAATGAAATAAGTGTCTAACGACCTATCTACTTACAGTATTAGTGATTATAAACATGTCGGTACATAGCATACGACGCGCGGGCAAGTGGGGACGAAATTAGAATTTGAACTGACTTACTATATCCTCTTAAGATATTTACAATACTTATAAAAGACAATAAACGCTCAATAAATGATTAAGCATAAATACCCGTAAGGAAACATTGTTTTTCAAATAAGGGTGACAAACGAGCACACGGTCCATCTGATGGTAAGTGGTTGCTGTGGCTCATAGACATCTACATTTACCTAGATTAAGAATCAAATTGCAGATGCGTTGTTACTCCTAAGGTCCTAAGGCCTTAAATGGAATGCCTCGTTGCCAGTAAAAAGGGTCTCCGGTTCTCTACACTAACGAAAGGAAACACGACAGCATTACGCTGGTATTCTGTGAGGGCGAGCTCCTAGCCCAATCGAGCCGACCCAATCGTGCTCCAACTGCAACCGTACCTAATATAGCTGCAGCGTGGCGCTACCACGTAAATAAACAATATATTTTAATATTATCTATTTACGTAATAGTACCGGTTGACCGAGCTTTGCTCGGTTTTTTTTTTAATTCGTGTGTTTTGGAAATTATATTTAGAAATACAAGTTACATACTGATGAAATACGAATAATATTTTTTGATCTTAGCGACATAATAGAAAAAACTGAACTGGTTATTTGAATAAAAAAATCATAAGTGCAATTATTTTAATTAAAATTTTCGTGTTTTTAAAAAACACTAAAAAAAAAGGGCTCGAAAAAATAGATTTTCTCAAAAAAGAAAGGAACTTGAAAAAAAAATTAAAAAAAGTCGGTCGGTCGGTCTGGGCTCGAACCATGGTATTACGATTTTGTGACCGCCCAATATACCAATTAAGCTATTTGTAATCATCAATAAACTGTCAAAATTTACCTTCTTATTCTAACGATATTGTAGCAGTTTTTCATTGCCTAAAAACACGGACAAAAAAACATTTTCTAAAAATAAATCCTAGCTAGATCGATTTATTGCCCCCGAAACTCCCTGCACACAAAATTTTATGAAAATCGTTGGAGCCGTTTCCGGTTTTCTTGTATATATATACAAGAATTGCTCGTTTAAAGGTATAGGATTAAATTAAACATATTCTATTCTAAACAATTGAATAGTCTCTTATAATTTTTTTTTCTTTTGTTTCAGGGCGTCCTGCTCCAGAATTCAGTAAACATAGATTAGTGCAACCGGTGGTTCATCATGGGCGGACGAAACGAGAAATTTCCTCTACGAGGGATTCGGTGAGTAATTAAATAACATTCATCATCATCACCATTATCAATAATTATTACACCCCTTCACAAGTTCACAGTTGAACAATAAGCCCCCAAGTAAATTCACAAAACAACCACCATAAGCCATCTGCATCCATCGGTTTTCTGCATGTCTCTATATAGTGGTTCCTATACACCTCTTGACGTTAAGACTTACGAGGCCAACCCTTACGTAACCTCTGACCTTTATAAACCTTGCTTTCCCGTCAGTGGTATATTCATCTAGCTCGAGCTATATGGCCGACCTAGTGCCACTTCAGCTTAGTTTATGTTATGTTAGTTAATCTCTTCAGTTCAGTTATGTTAGTTATTCTGATCCTATTGCGGATATCATTGTTACAGATTCTATCACGCAGAGGAACTTAAAAAAAGAAAAGGAATATACTTATCCATAATTTAAAAAGCTAAAATTTCCTAGTGAGATAATTAGTTAATCATTTTTAAAATGAGCTTATTATCGTTTATAGGGCCAGCATCTGATTCCATTGTTAGATCAGTTTCATGGTGCCAAATTATTGCATTGTTATCAAATTATTATGACATGTCAGCAAATGCTTCAAAAATTGATTGCAGACATTTGATGAAGAAAGCTAGTTTTAAAAGCTTGTAATGATTATTTGTAGTGGTTGCGTAAGAACATCTATTACTCCATATTGTAGGCAACTGAGGAAAACTGAAATAGGCGATGGCATCTTCCTGATGACTTTTCAAAATAGTAAAGAAACTGTGGTCGTCAACGTGCTGGTCAAGTGTGACAAATAAGGAAAATTTTCACTATGAGATTATTTAAGCAAGAGGCCTATGTTCAGCTGTGGACTTTTATAGGCTGTGACTGTAATTTATGTGTCATCATATAACAGTCACAGATGACATATAACATATATGTCGTCTGTGACTGTTATTTGTTTAACGTTACTTTCAGAAGCGACAAAGGCTACGGACAGCAAAACTTCAAAATTTATGAGTATTAATCCGTCATTCGAATACTGTTGTAAACATAGAATACTATAATACACAATTGAATGGCTGTCAACCTTACTTTGTAGGAGGATTAGCGTCGCCGGAAGCACACATACAAGCAATTACGTCGTATTATCAGTTAATCAATACTACAAACACATTTTGATTAATGTTTTTGAGACATAAATATTTCTTTGTTTTTGTTCTAATATTCACAAAATATAAATAGTTTCGACTTACTGGTTGTAGAATATGTCTCCTGGTTGTAATTCAAGCTTTCTCAAGTGGTTATTTTATTTATTTTACTTTATTATATTTTATTTGGGGAGCTTACTGCTACATTTACAATCTAGATCACTATATTAAAACTTATATGCCCATTAAAATGTTTCCACGTATAGGCATAATACATTCACAACACCATTTACGAAATCTATTTTAAGAGTAAAAGTAAATTTAAATAAGTCTAGATAGTTGTTTTCACAATACTTATTGAATAAACTCGAAGCTCTTGGTATGAAACTATTACTCCTGTGACAATAACTAGTATTACAAGTTAGAACATGGAGTAATACATTTTTGCATAGTTTTTCAACAGAGGATCTCATAAAGATTTTACTAAGAAGCTCCAGACAAACCATTTTACTTTGTACAACAGACGTCAGCGTTTGGTTTCTAATAAAAATCTATGTCTCAGTGTACGTTTTAGTACGGTGAAGTCTGATGCAGCGATCTTCGTAGTCGACAAAAGGTAGGTTAAATAGTTCCATATAGGGAGTAATAATTAGAAGCTTGCTAGTATTCTTTAAAAAAGATAACTCTGCTAGTTCTAGAAGTTTACACAACCCTATTACAAAATATTGTTTATTTATAATCTCGTGTTTTAACTATGGTTTAAGTCCCTTAAGTAAAGAAGTCCGTTCGCTGCGGCGTCACAGTCTTCGCGAAATTTTTCATTTGATTTTTTCTACGTGGTAGACCCGTGCTGCAGCTATATTGATTATATGGTTGTAGCACGAATGGGTCGGCTCGACCGGGGATGGACCACGCTCTCACACAATACCAGCGTCAAATAGCAGCTTAATGCTGCTGTGTTTCGTATGGTATGTGTAGAGAACCGTAGACGCTTTTATTGGAAAAGAGGCATTCCATCTCAGTCCTCAAGGCTGACAACGCATCTGCATTTTGATTCGCAAACGAGGATAGATGTGGATGTCTATGTGCCACAGCAACCACTTACCATCGGTTGGACTGTGTGCCCGCTTGTCACCACTTTTCCTATAATAAAAAATACTGCTGCGGCTGCAGAATTCTTTCTTAAACACGATATAATAATACTTTAAAGTTCGCTCGGAGTTGTTACCGTGTAGCGGCGGTATAAGGATATCCATTACCCCGTATCATCCCACGGGTGTCGTAAGAAGCGACGGCGGGAAACAAATCGGGAGATGGGCAGCAGCGTCTTCCTAATAACGACTTAAAATTAAAATAAACTTGCCAGGCGTGGCAACTATGGCAAATATCCCCCTATGAGGCAATCTATGGGAAAGGCCTATGTTCATGTATGACTACACTATAACCGTAACGGGAACGGAGTAGTTATATGAGTATTCGTAAGGAGCTCGCTATTTATTATTTTAAAAAAATAACTTCGCTAGTTCTAGAAGCTTACGTCACGTGTTTTAAACACTTTATTCAAATTGATGATAGTTTCGCTTTGACTTCGCGCTAAGTACGTCCAATCGATGATCGTTAATAAACCGCAAGCTGCCGGACCAGTCGCTCGGTCACCGGTTCTGAAATCATATTTTACGATATATGTGCTCGAACCTACACAACCTATCGATTTACTAGGCCAAGCTATCTGGGTCATATATACTTATAGACCCCTACTCCTGTTTTTGTTGGGATTCAACCTCTGTAAGGTTAATCTGGGATAATTTGCGAATATTTTAGAGTAACACCGTGTAATATCCGATAGATCCAAAGTGAATATCAAGCAGGTATTTCCTTAATCTTCTGTAAACCTTCTTAAGTTCTTTTTTGACGGCTTCTTGGTGCAGTGGCTTAGCTAAGAAATGCAGCGCTAAGGGCCCCGGGTTCAAATATCGGGCCTTTCTTTAAACTTTACCTCCACACTAGGATCTTCTCCCGTATCGTGGGGGCTAAAGTTTACATACATAAATTTCACAAGGAACCACATCCAGCCTGGAACAAACTAAATTATTTGTAGGCCATAGAAATACCTTTTCCGTGTGGGATTACTATTCACACACACGCCTTCAAAAAGCACAACCTTGATCGCGTACCATTTTAGCACTGGTCTTAACGTCTTATTATACTAAAATTATACATTAAGCTTTTTTTATAGCATAAGGCGACATACGAGCACACAATCCATCCAGATTATCCTCAATTAGGAATCAAAATGCAAATGCGTTGACATCCCTGAGGACAGGGTCCTCGATTATCCAGTAAAAAGGGTCTTCGGTTCTCTACACTCACCATACGAAACACAGCAACATTACGCTGCTATTTTACGCTGGTATTCTGTGAGAGCTCGTCCCATGTGCGAAACGCATTAGCCCAATTAGAGCTCAAACGTTACTAATAGTGCGATTTAGCCTTTGCCAATTATTATTCTTGATTTACTATGTTACACAAGTTATTATGATGTAAGTATCTATACATACTCTATTATGAAAAATCAGAATGTGTCAAAAAAGCACGTATGGTAAATCATAATGCTCTGTTAATCCCTACTTGTAGTGAAAGTTGGGTGCGGCAGAAGAAGTACGGAAGTAGAATAAATGCTGTACAAATGCTGTCTTTAAGGAGTATGCTAGTGCTGAATCTGAATGACAGGGTCAAAAATTGCGTGATAAGAGAAACATGTGATGTGCAAGATGATGTTGTGACAAGGATTAAGAAAGGAATGCTTCGGTGGTTTGGTCATGTAGAAAAAATGAACGAAGGAAGAGTGACCAAGCAAATTTATATTGCTGGTGTGAACGGCAGAGTCAGGAAGGCTCGCCCCAGAAGAAGGTTAACCGACTAAATTAGCGATATTTTGAAAATGGGCCACATTAGGAGTATCCTTAACCGACGAGCATGTATGCGTAGATATATGGATGTAAAGGAGGCGAGAGAGGTATGTCAGGATCGTGCGAAATGGAAGTCTGTAGTCTCTGCCTGCCCCTCTGGGTGACAGGCGTGAGTGTTTATATTTTATTATATTATATATTTATATATTATTATTACCTAAAGAAGCTTCAATCTGTAGTGATGGTGTAGAAATATCCACCACTCTTTATCATCTTGTGGGTGTACGACAGAAGCTTTCATCCTCGCACAATTTCCTTGTGGAATCGACTACCACCAGCGAATTTTTCTGGGCCGATACGACTTAGAGACGTTCAAGAAAAGAGCCTAATATTTTTTTTAAATGCCGGCAACACATCTGCAATTCCCTTGGTATTGCAGTTTTTCATGGGCAGCGGTAGTCACCGTCAGGTGAGCCGCACATTCGTTTCCCCCTCTTAAAATAAATGCGACTGGTGAAAACTGAAACAGGGGATGGGAAGCAGCATTTCACTCGCCTGCCAAGCGTAGCCTCCCCCTTATAAGGCAATCTATGGAGAAGGCTTAAGAAGACTACACGATCAAAAGAAGCCATGTAGAGGCGCCTGGTCTTTTTTCCATTTTTTACAACACGTAATAACATATTTTCTTCTGCTCTACTAAATAAATAAAAAATCATAACAAACGCGGCGCAATTAAGTCCATGAGCAATAACTGCTTACTTTGCCTGAAGGTAACTCCTACCCTGTAAGGGCCTTTTATGATTATACAAGCATCGTCTTGACCGCCCGCATCTCTAATCAGGCAATTCAGCCCAACAGTGGGGAGCCTACTACCAACAGTGAACTATTATAGATTAAAAACGTAAAATGTGAGTTTTGTAAATACGAAGGACGGTTTTAAGTTTCTTACGTACTTTGTACAGT